AATAGTTTTTATGGAAAGCGTTCACGCTGCTAACAGACCAGTCGAACTTTCTAACAGTTCAAATCAACTACCACTCATTCATTGACCTTGTATTGATGTGCCTTTGGACTTAAGCAGCGTTCAGACTTCGCGACGGCAGCGCTTCGGCCGCGCGATTCGACGATCGATGCGCATGCTTTCGACTGCACTGATCGCGTCAACGCGCGACCGAAGCGCGGCCGTCGCGAAGTTGCTGCCTTAGGCCTAAGCATCGAAAATTTACACTTCCGAAGAAGACGATTAGAAAATGAAAAAGAATACTATGGGGTAAATAGACCGCCCGATCCAGAAATACTGAGTATCATAATGATATGAGTTGACTGTATGTATATCTTTCATTTATTAGATTGAAAAGCAAGGCGGGGAGGCGTGCAACAGAATCGTCCGGGCAGCGCCCGCGGCACGCGGCGCGAACAGATACAAAAGTAATCAGATAAGGCCGTGATTCTCCCTATGTTTATGTGGTTCACATGATTTGCGCAGTCGCCAGCGTCAATATAATAGACGGATGGCCAAGTTTTTCTGTGAGCTGCTGTAAAAGATGACAAACCAGAGCAAATGTTAAAGACCCCAATGAATTTCGTGCTCTATTGAACTTTTTCATACTCTAACTGAAAACTTAACCGTAACTGAACACAAGACTCGATCCTGGGTGATATCAATATTTACCTTCCCTTCAATAACCCTATTCAAACCGCCAGAAGCACGCTTCGTCTTCTCGCCGCAAGTATGTCGCAGGCCACGCCCACCAGCTGCACCGGACGATTCTGTTGCTACACACCCCTGTATGGGTGGGCCGCGGATTTCTTCGACCGGAGAACACATCACCTGAATTAGTTACCGCAATCAAAATCGAGGAGGAGATTGGAGCTTACGACAGCAAGCTTGAGCGAGCATTGTGGATGGTGAAGGGTAAGCCGACAGCTAGTCATTAGTTCATTACTCGTCACCTTTGCAATAGGTTGTCCAAAGCGCTGTCTACGAGTGTCTTTGAAATGAGTTTCATGGCTGAGAACACAGGTGATATAGTCACTATCGTACCATCACTTAAAAGCTCCTAGTCTTCTCTGCGTTAGCTCCACCCAATGCAGACACCACTTTTTTGGAGCGACTACGTCACACTTCATTAGCCTTCTGAAGGTGGAGTCGCTGGGTACGGGGGTATAGGTTAGTGCAGCACTGCGCCTGTTCTGTTTTTTCTATAAGTAAAGCTGTAGCACCTATTGCGTATAGTAGGGAAGAAATTCTCCAGTCACATATTGCGAGAAAACAATAAAAACGCGGGGTTAATCTACTAGAAGTGTCGTTTAAATCAACAAGCACAACTAAAGCGAGAAAAAAGGCTCAATTTCAGCAGGCGGACGCCCACTCCTGAACAATTCTAAGGATGAATATGGAATCAGAGGCTCAATTTTTGGTTGTGGTATTCCCCAGTAGTGCTGGTAAGCCTTTAGAACTACCTCTAGACTACCTCCTCAAGTGACAAGATTTTGCGGCGATACTGATGGAAATTTCGTTGCCTTTAACCCTGAAGACATTCACTCGCTAACAACCGCTAACATGAGAACATGGCTAAACAGAATTCCGGCCACCGCCCAGCAACCGAACATCTTCGATTCTCAAGATGCTGAAAATATCAGACTTTTGAATATGTTCCGGATTCTTTTGAATGCTGATTCCCGCTGAATAGTCGAAGTCCCCGTAAGGGCGTTTGAGGTACAGGAGAAAATATACCTGGCCGACTCTCCGATCCGAAAATTCAACGAGTGGCCAATCCATCACCCGAGTTTCCAGATCCTTAAGTTCATCGAGTCTCACATTCAGATCCGCATGATTAGGTAACTGCAGCAGTGGCTGACATTTCACAAGTAATTTAATACAGATCTGCTATGGTGCTTCCGCAGGCGACATCCCCGTTATAAAGGTTCCACAGATGGAGCGGAAATCTATTGGGGGTGAGGACAAATATAAGTGAAAGTAGCGTGAAGGTGCAAAGCCGTTTTGACAGATCATCGTTTGAGGCATACTGGTTCTTCTAGATCATGTCGAAGCAGACGTTTTGGACGCTTTTGTAAAGGTTTCCATCCTCTATCGGAGAATGACCTGAATGCAATCGTTAGCTCTGATAATGGCTGGAAACTTGTTGAAAACAAACCGACGCTGATGTATCACACCTTTCCTTCCAATTCAAAAAATACGTCTGAAAGGAAGTGACATATAGTGTAGTTCGCTGCGGACGGTTGGGCGTGTCAGTGCGGCTGCGTTTGGCGCGGTGCCAAACTCGTTCTCCACCAGTTGTTGAAGCGGGCAAGTGACAATACTGTATCATATCCTTCGTATTACTCGTTTTCTACCACTTTTTGTCGCATGCGCGCTTCAACAAGAAGGCAGAGAACGGCTTTGATGGGGTGACACACTCATACTGCCTGACACGCCCAACCGTCCGCAGCGAACTAGAGTGTAACCACGGACTGACTCGTGTTGCCTTTGAAAGCGCAAACAATGACATTTTCATATATGTCTATCATGGTCAGAACCACTATGTACTACACGCAGGCAAGATGATCATGTGGTCAGCGTCGTTCATGCCTCACTGAAGCTGAAGTACCCGCACAATTACCCGCTGTACGCATATGATGGAAAGAGTTCAAAGTTCCGGACTCCTCTAGCGACCGAAGATCCCGGACGCAGCTGTATTTGGAGGGTTCCGAAGATTAGGTGGGTCGAGCACATCATGCCCTTGATGTCGATCGTCGAACAGCTGCCATTACTCTAGTGGCATTCCATCCAACATAGACCTGCCCGCCGCCGCTGGTCACATTTCATCGTAGAACTTCTGTACGAGCGGTGTATGTGCATCGCGTGCATCAGAATCACTATGCCGCCAGAGTATGCAAAAACGAGTGGGGTCTTATTGCCATTAGACTAGCAACCCTATGAACAACGTGAGTACACGTTCGATGCTCCATTTTCCCGCAGTGACCATCTTATACAGGCATCTACCTAGACTTGATTTAAATGATGTCTTCCGAAATTATCCTTTGAACCGCTGACAAAGCGATGATGAAAGATGTACGGACAAAAGGCTCTTTATACACGGCGTGGGTCCGAGGGTCAAATCTCAGATCAGCTACTGCCCGGACCGGAAATGCCTCCTATCCTCCCGGAGCCCGTAGAGTTGTACCAGACTCCTCCTGTCAAGGGGCAGGGTTTGGCGGGCGTAACTTGTTTCTTGTTTTCCTCCATTTCTTGACGCTTCAGGAAGTGGTGGAGAACAGGCTGGAGCAGCGCCAGATGCCAGAACCCTACATGCTACAGCATCCCTAATAAACAAGGGTGTGTTAGCAGGATGTTCTTCAATGAGTATTGTTGTTCTTCTGCTCTCCCCGATGGCGTTGCGCTGCATGTCAACCATACGGTTTGGTGGACGCCGCTTTTTGAACAATCCTCTTCGAGCATACCTGAACCATATGCGCATGTGATGCTGTGCTCCCATTTCCGGGTGCAGCGTAGTCGTTTGAGGCAGCTAATTCAGATGTCACGAGACTTTTACCGCTCTGCAGTGCCTTGCATACGCTTGCACCTTTCCCTGCCTACGCGTTCGTGGCAGAAAGATGAGTGAAGTGGTGGAGTCAAGCAATTTTTGAGCTCGCGTCTGTGTACCACTTCACATTGGACATGCCATCAAACACTTGCACTTCGGGGTTCGAATGGGGAAGCCAAGCACTGCATGTCAATGTTCGTGTGAGCCTAAAGTATTAGGTGTCAGATTGTATCGGTGCAACAATGGAGCAGTCATCTACATATCTACGGTACATCAACTTCAAGCGTTCCATTACATGTTCTTCTCTCTTGCTTATGAAGCAGGTTGCAAAAATATCGGTGCTGGGCGTTGATCCTTGGGTGCGAAGTGTTACCTCCCAGTCGCCGCATATTCCCAGCTGTCCTAGTTGGTGGGACAAACAGACAAAGAGAGAGCTAATCGACTTGAGAGACGCAGAGAGACTCGATAGAGTCGAGCGTCTCAAACAACGCTATGTGCGTATGCGTTCATACAATTGGAGTCTCAGTCGTGGAATTTCTCAAAAATAAGGCCAAGAAATTAAAGAAAAGGCAACGATTCATGAACTGTTAGGCTTGTCCTGGTCACAACTATTCACGGTGTCATTTCTACGGAAGTTATGGCAAAACGACAGTTTGTAAGAGAAAAGCCTGGCGCTAACCGTCGATTGACCAGAAATTCGGAGCGGTCGTAGTTTGCGCTGCAATGAGGGAAAATCAAAATGAAGGCCGTGTGAGGCTTGAAGATTTATGTTCTTCTTTAAAGGCAGCAACAAAGTATAAAAACAACATGTGGTTTTAGATTCGCAGTAATTTTCCAACCTTCATGGAAGTTTATCAGTAATTGCATGCCAATAGCAGGACGGGGAATATTCAAGCATTGGAAATCCTTTTTTATGTGACCACGTCAACCATCGAAATTTTGAGGACCTGTGAAAAAGCCCATGCCCATGCTTATGACTTTTCGTATGAAGGACAACCTAACTACTGCCGTTTCACAGGGGCATTATGTTTGAGACTGAATGTTGCGCAGATTCAGCACAGAAATCTGTCAAAACAATATAAAACCAGATCACTTGACACCTCTCATCTTTAATATCTACATTATATAAAGTGCTCATAAATTTATTGATATTTACTTTTCATAGAGAAACAAAAACAATTACTTCTGCGAAGAGTACAGTAATGATAGATTGAGTAGCGGTTGAAAACAGTAAATCTCGTAAGCAAAATATCTCAGATGAAAATCTAAAGCAAAAAAAATAACCGAGCATGAGTGAAATTGAGATAGTACTAAAGCTGGAGCAGCCTTCCAGAGAACTCAAATTCGTCACCTATCAGCAGCGTTTTCAAGATTACCATTCAGTTTTGATTCGCCGCATCTCTTCCTTTCTCTTGCGTTCCTTTTCAAGCAACTTCTCCTGGATGGCTATCATTTTGTCGCACATCACATCGAGTTCAATTTTGCCTTCGCTGTTTTCCGCATTCAAAGCCACCAACATTTGACGCTGTAAAAAGGCCTTCGTAATGACACTCGTTAACTGAACGCACAGAATTCGGATGTTTCATTATAATTGAAAGGAACCTAAAGTCACTTAAAGATTCAAAGAAGTTAACAATTTTGATGAAGATTCAAAGTAAAACACTTGAAGGCAGCGCCCACGTTCATTCTGATGTTCCCGCGCCCTCTCTGGATATCATAGCCCTCCCTATGAGGATGCAGTATGTACTAGTTTTGCATCTCAAAAAGGCGAGAGGATAGCGCCGTTCGCTAGTGAAGAGTCGGCCGCCCCGCCCACCTGGCCAGCATAGGGTTCTATATAGGGCATTTTCCATGATTTTTTTTCTGCTTTCTTCTTCACTACTGCTTACGTATTATATGAGCTCCATAACTCATTATTCTTGAAAGCGGGCTCAGCCTTTAAAGGCTAAGCCAAAGCAGTTATGGCAGCCAGGTGGGCGGGGCGGCATCCTCTTCACAAGCGGGTGGCGCCATCCTCTCGTATTTTTGAGCTGCGAAATTAGTACATCCTCCACCATGCTACGATATCCAAGGAGGGCAAGTAACGTAGGAACATCAAATGAACGTGGGCGCTGCCTTTAAGACCGTTTTGAATCTTCATCAAAATTTGGTTCCCAAGACATATAGTTACAACTGTAATTCTTAATACTGAATAACTGGTTCACGGACAGCACAAAGCGCATAGGCGTTGTTGTTCGCCAAGAAGTTTAGAAATTTTTTCTTACTGGAGGCCAACACACCACAATGTCGACGAGGATAAAGTCCTCGCCGTTAATCAATCCCTTTGTGGGATGCGGCACGCATTCTACTTCCATTCAGAATCGTAGTGGCTTATTGAATGCGATGTGGCCTATACAATGACTTGCGGTGGCCAGCCGATGTACAAGTCAGTGTTTTATCCTCCCAGACGAATCTGGTACCAATTTACCGCCCCGGAGGGTAGAAGGCTTGGTTGGCCTGGGCGGGAGTCGACCCGGGATTCGAACCCGGGACCGCGCGAGTGGTAAGAGCGCCACTTGTCACTACTCGAAGAAATGGTGCAACACACCCAAACCCTTTGAAAGGTACCACCAAAACTGTGGCTATACTGTTAGAGCATCCTCTCTGGAAGCGTAATACCCGCCCCGCAGGGAATTGGCAGAATTTCCTTGCTGTACAAAAACTTGCACAACAATGGCAATTGCTCCCTAATCTGCGTGCTCACTGTAATCTAAAAATATTTCAGTTGGCGCACTGGTCAGTACAGGTGCCTGTAGCAACATGGTTCCGAACCGAAGACGGATGCATAGCCCATCCCGCATGATCGATATCTGTTGTACCTTCGCTTGTCATCATTTAACTTCGTTATAGAATAAACCTACGAAAAGTTACCTATTTGAAACCGTCATAGTTACATACCAGTTCATGTTCTGTTGCCTCCGGAATCCAGAAACGATCCTTGGCCTTCGACCAGTTGGTGATGGCTTCCAGTGGGGCGTCTTGACCTTCAATTCGCTCTGAGAACATCAGGTTGCCAATATTCAGCGTGGGGAGATAGGTTCCACTGCAAATAACAGTTCTCGACCATTACTGGCTAAAAGAACGACACTGTGCACTTGATGAATAGCGTTGTCGTTCGCATCACGCATTTAACATTAAAGGGCACTTGCGACCACTTGTGAGAAGGAATACTTTCTGTGCAGTAGCTGAAGTCTGCGGTCTACAAATTGTTGGGTGTCACTGATCTATCTATTCATTGTAAGCGTGGATTCCCAAATGCGGTGGTTGTTCTACTCTCCCCATATCGAATGGTAAGGGTGAGGTGATAAGGAAAAAGAAATGGCACCAACCAGTGAGCACTCGTCCAGCCACGAACTTTCTTGGCCTCATGCACAAGCATGATTTCGCATGGGGTTCTATGTGAAGCATCCTATGCAAGCTTTCAATGCCATTTTTACTCAGTTTTTTGCGAGGCAAGAAAAGAAAGGAGAAGGTCAGTATGCCACTTGTCATTATTAATAATTAGCATAAAGCCATTTTTGAACGCGGGGCGCGCTTTTAATGCTCATGAGGCACTTGGAATCTCTGGTGCAGCTTCACTTCACATTGTTGTTTAATGCTTTCACTTCCGCGTCCAGTGTTTCCAGAAGATTGGTGACGAGTTGCGGCTATCATGGGTAACTTGAAAGCAGTTGGCACGATAAATCCCTAAGACGAGTGGGATCAATACGCCTGGCAGGACGGGATTCCGTGCCCATGAACAGGCGCTGCGTAGCCTTTTCTAAGGAAAGCATCCTTATTAGGGCCCTATCGAACTACATCAAACCGATTCGGACGCCCTCTACGCTCAAACGGACAACCGTTCCTGACGCTCGTATTGATTCATTTGCTAAGCAAATTATGAAGCGAAGGGATTGGTATGAAGCGGCCGCGGTGCTGCATGGATATATGAGTACACACATGCAGCCGTATCTTCGGTAGCGGTTATTGGCAAGATGCCTATGGGAAACTCGTCCGAAATCGATTTTCAAGTCACTGACGGAGGCTTTTTCTTCGCAGGATTTTGACCGTTTCACTCCGTTCTTTCGCCATTTCCCCACTATATAGCGCCCTACTAGCATTTTAGGCCAAGTACCAAATTATCGTGCCAAGTGGCTTTAAGACCAAACTATAGCTGCACACTGAACTCTGCGGTGAAGGTTTTGGTGACAAAACTGAGATCCCTGTTATATTCTCTTCAACAGGTGTGGCCAAATCATTGATAGTGCTCTACAGTGTTTTTATTTGGGCAAGTAAATGACGTAAACTGACGCATATTTCATGACGGTGCCGATCACTAGTCCACACTTGCAGTGTACATCGGCAAGGATCTGCGTGACTTCATCAACAAATTTCATCTGAAAACGTCACAGTAGAAGAGTATCGAATCCAATCCCTCCTTTTTTTGCTACAAAATAAGTCCTCATTCAAATGTCGTTCCCCACGTTACTT